GTGTAGCCACAGGAAACTTTTCCATGGGTTCCCTTCAGCTGCAAAATCGGCTGTATGAGTAGCCCGGGTGCTCAGCTAGCTGGAGTGCCTCAAGTACCTAATGCAGCCAATTTGCTCTGACCCCTCAGCATCTTCCTTCTCTGACAGTTTGTGGCTGTGGCCGATCCACCGCAGGTGCAATCGTGGTCACCGATACAGGATGCCTGCAGAGGAAGAGGAGGGCTGGGAGTGGATTTAGTCAATAAATATTTATAGAGCGGCTCCTCTTTCACGGCCTTGCATTTATTCGAACAGCACTTTACTGTTTACAAAGCACTTTAATATTTCCCTTATAATTTGTCCTTTGTGGCAACAATCCTGAAAAGTAGGAAGGGACTATTATCAACATTTTACAGATGAAGAAACTGGGTCTTGGGGAAATGATGTGACCTATCCAAGGTCGCATGCCCAGGGATCTTGGCAAAAGGATTTGAAGGTGACCTTTAAGATAGGGCGTTTCCACCATTCTACAGAGTTCTGCAAGTCTGCAGCCGCCACCCAGTAGAGAGATAATGAGAGACCACTACATATATAACGTTTCTTTTCCCATGACAGAAAGAAGCAGGCACAAATAATTTGTACAACACAATATAATATCATATAGTAAAAATATTGGTTCCATATTAATGAAACAATACTAAGGAGATACTTTTATGTTTGTTTGGTTTTTCAGTATGGATTTTATACATAGAGATCATCTTAATCTCGATGCTAATTTCCCATTGGCAACACTTCGTCTCCATTTAGATTTCATAAAATAAGTGATAATGTCGACTCGCTACATCCCAGCCATGCTTAGAAACTTTCCAATAACTGAACCAAGGCTCAGTTCGTAAGTTAAATTGAAAATAAATACAAGTGTTAAATTTAGTTAGTTGTACCCGCCCCATTTCAGGTACTAAATAGCAGGCACTTTTTATTGAGTAGTGCCACCCTAACACCCAAGGAGCTCTGGCAGTGTAACGGTTATGAATCGGGCTGCTAATCTCACGGTCAGTGGTTCGAAACTACCAGCGGTTCCATGGGAGAAAGATGAGGCGTTCTGCTCCCATAAAGATTTACAGCCTTGGAAACCCTGTGCAGGGTCTCTATGAGTCGGAACCAACTCCACGGCACATAACAACAACAACAACAACAACATCCAGTAGCCTAGCTCAGGCCTGGTCAGGGCCCCAAAAAATAATTTTCAACTGTGAATTAAATGTGTTCAGCCCATCCTTGAAAGCCCCGTGCTGTTGGTGACTTGTCTGCTGAATACATGGACAGAAACGTTTCCTTGTTCCTAGCTCGGCTCTTTCCTCGTCTTCACTGAGGCTCCAGGTGTGGGGGTTGAGGGAAGGCAGCTGCAGGTCCAGGCTGGTCTATGAAACCTGACCCAGAGTAAATTTGGTTATTAAACTCATTTTCTTAAACACCCTAACTTAAGCTACTTGATTTTAGCTGCTGTGAACACAAGGCTGCCAAACAGGCAAGTAGGAGCCTGCCTGTCTCCCTCAAATATTTTATAATTGAAGTTAGGTATGTGTCATAGCTTACGAGGTTGCCAATCTCCTTAAATGCACACACAATTATAACTCATCCAAACACTTTTACAAACAAGTCAAAGAATTATGGGGATGAAGTAGCATTTCCCACCGATCCCAAGAGACATCGTGCTAAGTCAACGTTCCATGATCACATAAGCTTGAGATTTCATGGCAGCTCTTCTCCTATTAGACATTCCAGACACAGCTGTGCTTGGTTCAAGGCTGAGCCAAGCCTGGTTGATACAGCCTGACTGGCTTAGTGGAAACTGGAGTGATGGAGGTGGCGCAGCGATTAAGCACTCGACCACTATCTGGAAGGTTGCTGGTTTGAACTTAGCATCTGCTCTGTAGTACAAAGATGTGACACTTCCTGTTTCTGTAAAGAGTATAGCGTTTGAAGCCCTGTGGAAGTAGGTCTGTTCTATCTTATAGGGTCCTTGTGAGTGTGAACTGACTTTACAGAAAAAAGTTTGGGAACCCGGCGTTAACGAGACATAATTGATTGTGGAATCCACTTTACTTGTGAACCACCATCCTAAGAATTATTGCTTTCTGAACGTATTTGATACATGGTGGTTTTCAATACTTGTAGTCTTTATTTCAAGGAGCTCTGGTAGCGTAGTGGTTACGAATTGGGCTGCAAACCGCAAGGTCAGCAGTTTGAAACTACCAGCTGTTTTTGTGGGAGAAAGATGAGGCTTTCCGCTCCCGTAAAGACTTACAGCCTCAGAAACCCTGTACAGGGTCGCTATGGGTCGGAACCAACTCCATGGCACACAGTAGGGTCAGCAGTCTTCCTTCTCATTCTTTTTTATAAAATCTTCAGAAGGACATCAAGGTTAAACAAATACCTAAGGTAGCTCATGGCATAAACAATATATGAAAGTGATTAACTTCTGGTATTTGGTGCTTTACTGATGCCTGACTCACTAACATAAAAATATTAATGTTTTAATAATTTTATAATCTATGAAAAAAATGTAAAGAAACTTGTTTTTATTGGTTGTCACCAAGTCAATCCCTACTCATAGTGACCCCATGAAACCATGGCTTTATTTCAGTAACCTGTACTTTTGTTGTAGACATGGGACTGAACTCCAGCCTTCTGTAGTGTTGTTAGATTCTGACTTAGCTAAAAACTAAACTAAACTGAAGCTAACTTGCTTTCATTCATTTAGTCAGTGAGCCCATCATTAACTAACCAGGTCAACAATTCATTTGTTCAGTAAGTACATTTTGAGACCTGGACTCCTAGTGTAGTGCTATAGGATCAGCACCGGACTGCAAACCACACAGTCGGTAGGTCCAACCCAACAACTGCTCCTCAGAAACCCTATACACTCAACGGCACTTACCAACAACAGTGAATTCCTGGTGTAGCACTGTAGGATCAGCACTGGATTGTGAACCACAAGGTTGGCAGTTCCAACCCACCAGCTGCTCCTCTGAAACTATAGAGTCACTATAGGTCGGAACCAACGCGATGGCACTTCACAACAATAACTGATGCCATAAACCAGAGGTGGGGAACCTTTTTTCTCCTAAGGACCACTTGGATATTTATAACATCATTCACAGGCCATACAAAATTATCAACTTAACAATTAGCCTTCTCTATCTATATAATGTGATGGCTGGAACTGTGGTTGCCTTCGCAGGCCCAGACCAAATGGTTTCTCAGGGCTTACATGGCCCACACAGTCCTGGTGTGGCGCTGTAGGATAAGCACTGAGCCCATGGTCAGTTTGAACTGCAAGGTCGGTGGTTTGAACTCACCAGCCGCTCTTAGGAAATCCTGCGCAGGGTTGCTGTGAGTTAGAACCAATAGGACAGGACAGCACTTAACAACAACATATGACCAGACGTTCCCCACTCCTGCCATAAACTATGGCACTAGGGATACAGAAGTGAAAAATGCAAGGACTAACCCTGTCTTCACTGTGATCACAGTCTTATGGGGGAAACTATCTTTAAGCAAATGTATAACAGTTAAACCAAAACACGGAATCCACAGCTGTTGAGAGTGGGTTCTAGCTCACAGTGAAGCCTGTAGGGCAGTAGAACCACCCTGTAGGATTTACAAAGCTGTCATCTATATGGAAGGGACTCGCATCAGCTTTCTTCTGTGGAACGACTGGTGGGTTCCAATCCCTAGTCTTTTGGTTAGCAACAGAATGCTTAACCACTGCACCAGTATTCCTTTAATAATCACAGTTGTTGTTGTTGTTTGTTGTTAAGTGCTGTCTGGTAGATCCCGACTCATAGCGACCCTGTATAGGGTTTCTGAGGAGTGGTTGGTGGGCTCGAACCGCCAACCTTGCAGTTCAAACTGACCTTGCGGTCCAGTGTTTAACAGTGCCATACCAGGACTCCATGGGTCCTATGTTGTTGTTGTTAAGTGTCATTGAGTCGGCTCCGACTCTTAGAGACCCTGTGTAGGGTTTCCAAGAAACTGCTGGTGAATTTCAGTCGCCGACTTTGTACTTCAAACCGACCTCACAGTCTAGTGCTTTATCTCCTGGCACCACACCAAGACTCCTATAATGCCCGGAAAAATCATTTGGTCTGGCCCTGCCAAGGCAACTGCAGTTCTAGCCATCACATTATAGCAGGCTATATATGGAGATATATATAGGTTCTGACTCATAGTGACCCTGCACAGGGTTTCCAAGGCTGTAAATCTTTACAGGAGCAGAATGCTTCATCTTTTCTCCTGTGGAACCACTGGTAGTTTCGAACTGCTGATTTTGCAGTTGGCAGCCTGACTGGTAACCAGTACACTCCCAGAGCTCTCTCTTATTCTCTGTATCTACACACACACACACACACACACACACACACAGTAAACACCCCAGTACTGAACCTACGTCACAACACCAGGACTCAGTAATAGCAGAAGGAAGTAGTAGTACTAAGAGAGATCTGGGGCTCAATTTTAGAGGCTCCTAATTTATCCCTTTCTAAGTCCACATCTCTGTTAACTCGGAAACATGTTAAAAATAAGGAACTCACACTTCATCTAAAATGACAATATTTTTATTATATAGAAGAGGCACATCTTAGATAATTGTTTACAACACTTCTAACAATAAAATCAATGGCTTAAATGTGAAATTAATTGGAAACCACAGTTCTGATACACTGTTTTGGCGATTAAGCGCATTAGATTGAATTGTTTCAGAATGCCTAATTATTGTGTCTACCACACTCATCTGTTTGAGTCATCCTAACTTTTGGACTGCTGCCTGGCGTATTTCTTCAGTATGGTTTTTTTTTTTTTTAATTCTCATCCATTCTTTCCTTTTTAATGCCTAGCTTTCCTTATTCAAAGAGCTAAACTGCACATTTGTAGATTCTAGGTAAGGATGAAGTCATTGCTAATGTGTTGATTCTATGAGTGTGGGTGTGAACTGATATTTTCTTTGTGTTTTCCAGGTTTATGATTTACAAGTGCCCGTGTAAAGTCATTTTTACCAGATATTTCTGCAGCCTGGGAGTCCTTTGTATGTTCAAATCTTGTTTTTCTGTCAAATACTGCGTATCCTGATTCTCTCACGTGGAAGAAGATACCTCACTTGTCTGACTTTATCAAGTGCTTGACTTCAGACTTTAAAAGGTTAGAAGGAAAATCAAAATCCTACTAAAATATGAACATCTGAGTGGTTTGTAATCTGGCATTGTCCATAGTGGTCAGCTTCGGAACCAAATATTCTCCCCAGGATTACCATGGTCTTGAAGTCACTTTATTAAAAACAGCTGTGTCTGCAAACAGTCAAGACTCTTGGATGCTTAGAGCTAGAGATGACACTGAATGTGCTCTCATTGTGGTCCGCAGTCTTCAAGTGGGACATATTGATTGATGAGTGACCCTATCAATAAAGTCTCTTCCTTCTCTGCTTCGTGGATTGGACTTCATTAAGCAATTTATTACATACCTGAACACTTCCATGTGGGATTTTCCACAACAGTAGTTTTGGAATCATTGGAAGTCAGATTGATTTCATCATTTCACAGAAACTGACAGAATTGAAGTTACTTGTTCATGATGGCACTGAATGTTGCACCTATCAGAGATACAAAGTGGCTGACGTTAGAAGTGTGCAGACAGTTTCAGAGAGGAACATGCTCACGCTCTGATGAGGAATGCAAATTTGCTCACCCCCCAAAAAGTTGCCAGGTAGAAAATGGAAGAGTAATTGCCTGTTTTGATTCTCTAAAGGTAAGAGAATATCTCTTATGTGTCCTTTCAGCGCCACATGGGACTTTCAATACAAAATGGGTTTCCTTGTACTTAGTATCCAAATCTAACTATAGCTCTTAGATTCTGTTTTCCTATTTGTAGTTCCTACTGGAAGATTTTCACTGAATTTTGTTTGATATCCGGCATCTATAACTTTGTTTTACATATCCATGTTTAAATTAAAAACGCACGATGATGCGGTTCTAGACCGACGTGACATTTATGTACCCGAGAGTTTAAATCAAAGTCTGCCGTTTGACAGCTGAAGATAAATATTTTATTAACGCTTGATTTTCTGGAGGTTATGTAAAGGTGAAGAAATTGAATGTGTCACTTTTATGTGCCACTTACTCTGAGTCACCTCTTACAGAGATTTTTATTCTGTGCCTGTCTTTCTTGACCAAGAGCTATCTAAAACATATCTGAAGAGGTTTTTCAGTCTCTTGAAAACTTTTGTCATGCCTAACAGAAATTACTAAAGGCAACCTTAGTATTCCTGAGAACCTACGATATATATAAGCTATATAGTAGAAACTAACATGATTCTGATATTTCTCTAGATGAGCTCACTGGTAAAGCAAATAAAGAGCATCAGGAAATAACTGTGCACAAGATAAAAAAGGGTGAGTGCCTTCCAAGAGGAATAGAGAAAAGACTTCTAGGGAAATCCACAGATGAGAGAGCTGGCTTCCAACTGACAATTTCAAGGAATGTTTTCACAAGTCATGACATTTGAGTTGGATGCTGAAGTTGGGTAGAATTTGAACTTGAAGAGGTGAATGAAATCAAACGGAAAGATCCAGCTAAAGGAAGTGGCATAATTTAGCCCATGATTTTGTTTTTGTCTTTTTGGTATCACAGATATCGGTGCAGTGACTGTGGGTGAGAATGTCTAGTCCTGCCAAGACTCTTATTCCTTTAGAGGTTATACCTAGGAGTGGGGTTGCTGGATTATATGGTATTTCTATTTCTAGCTTTTCAAGGAAATGCCATCCTGTTTTCCTTAGTGGTTGTACCATTTTACAGTCCCACCAACCGTGTTTAAGAGTCCCAGTCTCCTCACAAACTTGACAGCATTTGTTATTTCCTGGTGTGTGTGTGTGTGTGTGTGTGTGTGTGAATTTTGTTCTGTTTTTTTTTCCAATTAGTGTCATTAGTGTTGTGATTTGATGGTATTTCATGGTAGTTTAGATTTACCTCTCTCCAATGACAGCACTTAACAACTACAACAGTGGTTAAAGGGAGTCCTGGTGTGGTGCTTTAGGATAAGCACTGGACTGTTAACTGCAAGGTCAGTGGTTCAAACCTAACAGCAGCTCTTTCTAAACCCTATACAATCATTTAACAACAACAACAATGGCTAACGATGGCTAGCATTTCTTCATACGTTTGCTAGTTACGTTGAATGTCTTCTTTGGTCACGTGACTTAATACATCTCTTGTCTGTGTTGTACTTGGATTGTTTGTTTTTTCATTATTGGGATGTTGAAGGTTTCTGTACATTTTAGAGAATACCCTTGCCCAATATGGCATATCCTTTGGGCTATGTCCCTGGTCAGATACATCAAAGCCATTTTTTTTTTTTCCAGTTTGCAGAGTCTCTGTTTACTCTTTTAGAGAAGTATTTTGATGAGCCTAAGTATCTAACTTTTTTGTTGTTATTGCTAAGTGCTGTGGAGTTGGTTCCAACTCATAGACACCCTGTCTGTATAAGGTTTCCAAGGAGCAGCTGGTGAGCTTGAACTGCCGACCTCGTGGTTCAAACCAACTTTGCAGTCCAGCTGTTAGTCCACAGCGCCACACCAGGACTCCATCTAACTTTTAGGAGGTCCAGTTTATTTAGTTCTTCTTCTGCTGTGTGTGTATTTTCAGGTCTGTTTAATATTGTGTTTCTGCCACATATTGGAGCCCCTAATATTATCCCTATTTTTTCTTCCATGATCTTTATAGTTTTAGGTTTTATATTTAGTTCTTTGGTCCGTTTTGGGTTAGTTTTTGCATATTGTGTGAGATATGGGCCTGTTTCATTTTTCTATAGATAAACAGCCAGTTTTCCCAGCACCATTTGTTAAGGAGACTGTCTCTTTCCCATTTAGTGAGCTTTGGCATTTGTTGGAGATCTGCTATCCATAAGCGGATAGATTTGCGTATAGATTCTTTCAGCTGTGTTCTGTTGGTCTGTGTGTTAGTTGTTTCGACTGCCTTGGCTGTAGGTTCTTAGATCAGGTGCCGACTTGGTTCTTCTTCAATAATGCTTTTTGATCTGGGGCCTTTTTCTTTTACATGTAAAGTTGGTAATTAGTCCTCAAGTTACGACCATCCATCTGATTTAAAACAACTTGCACTTGCCCTTGAATATTATATAAATTTGCCCTCACTTTGAAATTATTGAACCAACCCCTACTTGCAACAAATTTTTCATCAGAAGCCCCCTCACTGTAGTTACACTTACAGCTGTGAAATCATTGAAAAGACTTCAAGTCTTTTCTTGCACAAACTAAAACCAAACCCATGGTTGTCAAGTCAATTCCAACTCCTGCCAATCTTAAAGGACAGGATAGAACTTGCCCGTAGGGTTTCCAAGGCTGTAATGCTTACGAGTCCGGGTGTGGTGCTGTAGGATAAGCTCTGGATTGCTAACCACAAGGTTGGTGGTTCTAACCCACCCGCCATACCTCAGAAACCCTATACAGGATCGCTAGGAGTTGGAACTGACTCAACAACACTTAATAATATTTACAGTAGCAGACTGCCACATTTTTCTCCCAGAAAAGCACTGGTGGATTTGAACTGCTGACCATTCATTTAGCAGTGGCGTACTTTAGCCGCTGCACCACTAAGGGTCCTTTCTGGTACTAGAGTCTGATGAAATAACTGTATGCACCTGTTCCAACTTAATTACAAATTTGACTGAAAGACAGACTAGAAACGAATCTTGTTCATAAACCAGGAATTGCCTGTCCCTGATTCGCAGTGACTAAGTGGTTTGAGATGTGGCCGATACCTAGCCAAAGGCCAGGCATGTTAGGGGTTGGTAGGGTCAGTTCTTTTCCTTTCAGAATAAGGCAGATTAGCACAAGTGACCTATTCAATTTGATGACCAGATTTAAAGGCAAGCTATATCTAGCTCATTAGAATCACTGTGTGAGTGCTAATACCACAGTCCTGCAAATTAGACATGAAATTAGGAGAAACCAGACTTAGGACAGACATCTGTGTTGTTGTTTATTATAAAACATTTAACAAAAGCACTTTGGATAGTTATTTTTATTTGTAACTGTGAAAGGGAATCTGTTGACCTCTCAGAACAGAGAAAATAAAAGTCAGTGATGGGGCTAAGGCATCCCATTTGGGGGAAATTATAAGTTATCTCTGGTAGCGTAGCGGTTACGAATCGGGCTGCTAACCTCAAAGTTGGCAGTTCGAAACTACCAGCAGTTCTGCGGGAGAAAGATGAGGCGTTCTGCTCCCGTAAAGATTTATAGCCTCGGAAACCCTATGCTGGGTCACTATGAGTCGGAACCGACTCCATGGTACTTAACAACAACAACAAATCAGTTATTTGTATACATGAGTAACCTATCAATTTAAGTATTGTTGTTGTTATGAAACAAATTGTGGTTGTTTGGAAAGAGAATTGCTGAGGTCTGTGAAAAGGAAGTTGTATATGTGTAATAACTTTTAGAAAAGATATTTCAGAAAATGTATTAGAGTTCCTACAGTGGCATTTGTCCCTTATTCCTATGGTGATCTTATAGTGCGTGTGTAGCATTTGAGACTTTTGTTTTGTTACAGTATCATTATAAACAATGGACATTGTTTAAATTTTTTCGGGCAGGCAAGATTACATTCTAGAACACTGTGTTCTAAAAGTTTAGGCCAGTTTGACAAAATGCAGATTGTTTCACATAGCAAAGGCCTTGACCAAGTTAACCTTATCTCTTAGTTAATCCATAAACATTTCTCCTCAACAGTGGAGATGTTCGAGGTTTTTCTTTATAGGTTCTTCTTTCCTGCAATGAGTAGGGTTTGTATCTGGATTGTTTTGCATATTGAAATTTTGCAAGAATAAAGGAATAAACTTTAATGCTGATTAAGCCTAAAGGACCCAGTATTTACCACCTTCATCAGATATTTAATATATTTGCTTAAATATTTTAATTCTAACTCAGTTTGAACAAGGGAACTGTTTTAGAAGTCATATTGCTGATTTTGGTTAAAACATTCCTAGAGTATTTGGGAAAACAGTTTGGACCATATGTAACCCTTCGTAATAGTTGTCTCAAAGATAGTGTGGTCCTTCTAAAGCCTGAATAGATCTTCCAGAGACTTCTATTCTCACTCAGAGTGAACAGTTATCCTTAGTGATGGCTGTCTAGGTCCTGTGAGTTCCAGTTCAGACCTTTGATTGCTCGCCTCAATTCTCTATCACCATTTCTTCACTGAACCCCCTGCAGCTACGACCCCTCCTTGCTGCCCCCTGAACATACCAGCCAGGCTCCAGCTTTTGCACATACTTTTTGCTCTGTTGGAATTGTGTTTTTTGGGGGGGTTTTGCCTTTGTCATATGAACAGCTTGTTTCTTCAGGTTCCTGAGCAAAATTGCCAAGGTATTAGTGACAACGCAAAGCCAGTGGTTCAAACTCACCAGCTTCTCGGAAGCCCTATACAGGGTCGTTATGAGTTGGAACCAATTCACTAGTGCTTAACAACAACAATCCTCTCATTGCTGGGACCCCATTTCCTTCTCACTTTGCTTAACTGTTTTTCTTAGCACTTATCACCATTTGACAGAGGATATAAATAGCTCTTACCTTCTCCATCCTCCACTCCATTAGAATATAGGCTCTGTATAGGTAGGGATTAAATCTGTTTTGTCCACTCTTGTAGCTCTGGTGCCAAGAACAGTGTCTCACACAGGGTAGAGGCTCTATAGATACTGTTAAATGAAGCACATGTTCATCAGGAAAGCAGTCGCA